ACAGAAGGTGATAACAGCTGATAAGATCCGATAAGGGCGTTAGAACGCAAGGGTCACGAAATTCATAGCGCGCGGCCCAGCAGCATTGAGGCGCTATTCTTCGGATATGGTATAGGGGCGAGATGGGAACATATTTCGGGGGACAGAAGTGATAACAGCTGATAAGATTCGATAAGGGCGTTAGAACGCAGGGTCACGAAATTCATAGCGCGCGGCCGCAATGAGGAGCTGTTCGTTAGAGATGATATAGGAGGAGGAACGGGAACATTTATGTGGGGGGAAAGACTGTGACAAGAGCTGATAAGGGGTGATATCAAGAAATAGTTTGAGTTTGAGTCACTGAAGTTACGATCTGGATGCGTGATGAGGGAACATTCCATTCCATTCTCAATTCGCCGTAACATCAAGATCCGTTCGACCGCTAACCTTCCCAAGCCTCATAAGATGGTCGGTGTTCGTGGAAGAATGATATGCTGTTGGGTGTTTCTATGTCATTATCATCGCCAGCAGAAGTTATTCAACCGCTAAACTTCCCAACATCCGAACCATGGTAGTTGTTTACGTCAATGGCTGACAGTGAGCAGTTCAAGTAATTTTATTAGTTATCAAAAGCTTATTCGGCTGCTAGAGCAAATCAGCTTCGGCATGCGGTGGTTGTATAGGGTGGCTAATTAATCTAATTCACATAAAACCACCAGATGAAGTCTGCTAACCCATCGTTTTGGAAAGGGCGGTGCAGCCCTCACTCACTTCGGAGATCATTTCAATTGAGTGCTTTGATCTAACCAAATAATTGTGGAACGCTCAGCTCCAATCAACAAATCTGAGATGCAGTTCGCGTTTTTGCGTAGATCGGAGCTATATACATTCAGGGGAATTATACCATCTCTCAATAATAATGAAAGTAATGAAAGCTGCTCATACACAACTCAGAATTCAGGTGTCCAAAGGTTTTAGCACTATCGAATTTCTATAGAGCTGTGGCGTGACGTATGGACTGACTATGAGGACGTCATTAAGAAGATTAATGACCTGATACATGGACCCACGAATTCTTTAAGGCATACAAATAGGGTTCGCGTAATTTCTGCAAGTGCATTCCAGTGCAAGTTGCATCTTTTGCATTTGCGTTGCATCATCAGCTTTTTTCAGAGATATGTTCACTGCTACGAAATTGTATTGAGTATGCTAAGAATCAATGACACAGTGAAAAAAGAACTCAACGTTGTATTTAGATTCGTGCCTGAGTGAAAAGATCTACTTTTTTCTTGCTATTTTTCCATTTCGCTCTCGCTGTTCACTTCAAAAGTAACCTTCACAAAGCTTTTTTTTACCTAAAGTAAGCCTTTCCGACATCCATTCGTCAAATCCATCCGTCAAAGTCATTATTTGAGAGACTGATAGATAAGATGGAATTATCTCATTTGTTTTCGTTCTGACTGACTCTTTAGCTATCGCGATCATTTCCGATAGTGAGCTATCACAGGTATGGTTGTGCTCCTCATTATGACTACAATTTGGGATAGAATTAAGTTTGCTACCGCTTTTGACTGTTCTATAAGAAAACTTTCAATAGCTCTAGAATTTATGGTTACTTCTTCCTCCTATCTCACCAAGTGAGCACGGACCTCAAAGTAGTCCTAATTTCTTATTAAAGTTCTGATCTGGGCGGATTTCATAACCTTAAGATTGTGGAGATACTTCAGAAAAAGCGGACTTTGATTCGAAGCGGAAAGAAATGGAGGCGGATGGTCGACCAAGGGATCCGGAGAGAGAGGAGGAAGTTGCAGGCGAATATGCCGACTCATTTGATCTGATTTTCAGGCGCTCATCTTCGTAGGAGGGACATTCAAATCAGAGTCATGGAAGGTGATAGGACTAGGCTCCGGAGAGGAGAGGAACGACAGGAGAACTTGAAGTGTACACGTCTTTCCCCTGAATCCCCTCCCCTTCTTAAGACTCAGTATCAAGTACAGCAATTGGCTCACTCACTTGAATGTCCCTCCAACGGCTTGATCGCTGAATTAATGTTCACCTTAAGCTTTCTCAATTTCCGTAGCTGCAAATGTCAATTAGTAGGTGAGCGCTATATTTGTGGTTGCCACACAGACAATCCCTTTCTGACAATATGGCTATCTTACAAGGATTAATAGAGACCTGAAATATTTCTGAACAGTGGAACATCTGTGGAACAGTTCCTACCGTTGTTACCCATCTATTTGATGCTTCATTTTACTCCTGAATATCTTACTCAAGCTCCGTCATTAGCAATCTTTCCGATTCTCACTATTCGTCATCACTAACCGTGATTCTTATTCCATTTGTGCATCTGTGAGA